TTCAAAAAATTTCTGCAAATCTATAGATTTCGAGTGAAGGTTTCTTTATGAATTTTGAAAGGCGTGTAAAACCTTACTAGAACCTCTGGAGGGCCCTTCTATTCTAGGGACCCTTCCATTTAAGGTCATTTTTCCCGGATAGTTTTCTTCAAAAAGTTCGGTTAACTTTCATTCAAATTGTATTAGAATCAATCAATTCAGCCAAAATTAAGAAATGTTTCGAACGAAAAAAAAGGTACTTCAACTTTTTTCTGTGAAATATGAAAATTTCCGGAGTATTTTTGACTGAAAACGTGCGGAAATTTTAAACTTCGAACAAAACAATTTCGAGGGGGTCTCTCAACAGGGACTTTTGCATTTTCCAAGCCTTTCTCGGAGTGCCCTTCTGTTAGAGGGACCCTTCTGTTAATGATGCCTTTCTAATACAGGTTTCACGGTGAGTAATTCTTCAAATTATTTCTTGAAAAATGTCGATACTCAATCGCAAACATTCCGTATTTCAGCCTTTTGACCTGCGTATTTGATTCAGATTTATTTTGTCAGAAAATAAAACCAATTTCAACTAGAGTTCCTGAAACAGTGAATCTGCCAAAATCCCATATCCAGAGCAATTGATAACTTCTAGATTGCTCTCTACTAAAACTCAAAAGTCTTGTCACCCGCTCTCTCTCTCTCTCTCCAAAAAATGCGAAAAACACTCTCAATTGTTCTCCCCTTCCTATCCCTTTCCTCCTTCCTCTAGTTGTATGCAGTGTGAAATTGAGCGTACTCGTTTTCTATTGCTTCTTGTATACCAACAACTCGATGCCTTTTTTTATACTCGGAAATCTATTTTTAGTAGAAATCACAGTATCAGTTCTGTGGGAACTTCCACTTGTTCCTCAAATTTTAGTTTGAACCCCTTCTAAAAATTATGCTCCGAAATTCCCCTCCCTCGTGTTTTTATATTCCTTTTTTCTTATTTCCTTTACCCCTCATCAATCTTCTCCATATCCATATGCCCTTTTTGTCTCTGTCCCATTCTCATTTTTCGCATCTCCTAAACAATTCCTCCGTTCCCGGTGTCCCATCGGGATTCCTCTTTTCCACGCGGATTCACATGATTGATGCGATAAATGTGGTGCGATTTGACGTGGAATCTTGTCTTCTGGAGGACATAAGAGAGAGCCTTGTCTGTCAGAAGGACAACAACTTCGAAACGAGTCATCATTGTGATGATGATGATCACCATCATCATCATTTTGAGTGTCGGACCGAAACCACTCCAGTGACATCCATCCCATATCTGTTTTCGTTTTTCTTTTCTCATGTTTTCATCCCTCCGATAATCTGTTTTGGCGATAATGACTTGTTTTTTCTGGCACAAGCATTTTTTGGCTTACAGCTTCGAGATTTTTATGGACAGTTTAATTGGCATTATATATACTATAGTGCATATAAGACGGTAGAAATTTGAAGACTTTTTTTCTCATTTCTGAAAACCGGAATTTCTCAAATTTTATGTACAAAAAGAACAGAGTTAATAGAAAAAACAAAATTTTTTCGAAAAGTTTGTCTTTTCGACAGATTTCGTCCAGTTTCGTCTTGCCTTTTTATTATTCAGAAATTTTCTGTTTGAATATTCCAGAAATTAGTCAAAGTTATAGAAAATGTTCATTTGATGGATCTGAAAATAATCTTGAACAAAAAAATAGGTGGACAAATTGAAATTGGACAGTGTAGTAGTAGGTATATCAAATCCAGGTGACAACCAATCTTCCTGCACTTTAAACTCCTTGTTGCTCTGTGCCTTCTTTTCTTCTACAGGTAAAGAATCGGTTTGTCTCCCGATTTTGTACTTTTTTAAAGGAAAAAGCTTTTTTTTTCGTTTAGTAGACCTCAGAAATTCAAACTCGTATCATTAACCTCGAAATTGGTCATTTTGAACTAACAACCCTGTACAAACAGGAAAAAATTAATTTAGTACTGTAGTTCGATTTCGTCCGAGTTCAAAGTTTTTTTGCTACTTGATCCATAAAATAAAACATTTATGCTTTAATTTATTTATCACAATTGTTCTTTAAGGTTTTGGAAAAAAAATTCCTCCCAAAATTTACAATTTTTTCCCATGGAATTTTTTGAGTTTCACATTTTTACAGTTTCCATGTCTTTTCAAAAAAAATTTTCGATTCCACAACTCATTCCAGTACTTCGTTTTATGTATCATCAAACCTGATTTACCCTGGAAAACATTCACAACAAAATAATACACAAAAATTCGGAGAGCAAAGTGAACAAATTGGATAAAAGGATCATGTTATCCCTACTACTCCTACAACTACTTCATCAGAGAGTCAAACTACTTCTGGGTGTTCTCTAAAACTCGGAGCAGTTTTATAATTTTACGACGTTTTTGAAGAAAAAAAAATTTATACTCCGAACTTCCTCTAATAGAAGCCCATTCAAACCTTTAACTTCTAATTGAGAATGTCTAATTGAGAAAACTAAGGCCCCCTCTCTCTAATTTGTAAAATGATTTATTATTACTGTTAATCAATAATTGCAGGTATAATTTTCATTCTGTATGTGTGTGTGTGTGTTGATGGTTATGTGCTTTTATTTGGAAATAGTGTTATTATTCAGTTCACCACTTTAATTGAATGTGTTTTCTAGTTATTTGTGTATTTGTATTTGATTTTTTTGTATGATTGTACTGTATTTCTTTTCTCTTTTTTTTTCTTTTCCACGACTGAAGGTAGTAATAAATAAATAAATAAATAAATAACTTTGAGCTCAATTATCTCAATTCCTGTGAAAGATATCAAAAGTTGGACAACTGAAAAATTATTTATCATGAGATTGCTAATGTTTTAGTTGACAAATTTTCGATATCTCTCCTAGAAACCGAAATAATTGAGCTCAGAGTTGACGGTTTGTGTGCGCTTCTATTAGAGGAAGTCTATTGGGTCGGTTCGTGAAAATGAAGCAAAACTTATTTCAACAGGGTAATAAAAAAGAAGTTTATTTCTAAATCTTGCTAATGTGTGCCGTAGGCTTTTTAATTGTCAAAGTGACCATTGTTGTTTTTTCTTTCCAAATACCCAAAAATTTTGCATCCTCCTCAAAAAAGTCTCCAAAACTCCTTTTCCCAACGGTCCAATTCTGAAAAAAAATGTTGCGGTTCAAGTCAGTTCATCATAACCCATTTCTTTTTTTTCTTCGAGAGAAAAAACTCAAGGATGACTAAAAATATAAACTAACGAAGTTACGATAAATCCAGTTGAGTTTTTTTATCTTTTTCAACGACAACAGAAAGAAAAAACAAAAAACAAGAAGAAGAAGAAGTGTTCGTAGAGACAGACCTGCTCACCGATTCCTTAGTATTCCTTCTTATCCTACTTCTTCTTATTCTTCTTATTCTTATCCGTTCCCCTCGAGACCCATCCATCCATTTTTGTTTCTCACCCCCACACACTACTTCTTCTTCTCTTCCGGACACCCAACTATCCGTTTACACTGAAAAAAGTGTCGCCGATCCCATAGTATTCTTTTTTAGGAAACCAAAAAGAAAACAATTTTTAAAAGAATATCTTTTCCCGTCCAGAAACTCACCTTTCAAGTGAAGAGGAAGATGAATGAGTGTTCTTTTTCGGGTCAAATGACACTAATCCTTCTTCTTCTGGTTTCGTTTCCTTCCGAAGCTCTGCCATTTCCCCGAGCTTTTTGGAATTGGATAGATCACTTTTTGGAAAGTGCACTCTTCTTTTGAGGAGCCAAAAATAATGAGGTCCCAGTTTGAATAATGACTGTTTGAAGGGAGGAAGGGAGGCAAGCCCCTCTTATTTTGATTGGATTTTAGTTCGCATTACGGTAGTTGTTGGTTCAGTTTTTAGATTTCTTTAAAAATTTCTGTTTTATAGGATTTATAAAATTGGGACCCATTCTAGGTAGTAATAAGAAAACTGTTTTTCAACTGGTACGAAAAAATCGAAAATGTTTAATTTCAAACAACACATTTTGGGCCCTTCTACTTTTCCAAGACCCTCTCGGAGGGCCCTTCTAATACAGGTTTTACGGTATTTTCTCATTTTTTAATGATTTTCGTCGGTTTTTTTGTTATTTTCCTCCATTAAAAAGGCGTAAGATAAAAGTTTTGATAGTGAAAAAATTACTGAAAACGCACAAAAATCGAGAAAATCAATCCTGAAAATAAAAATATTATTAGGTTACGGTAGTTTTTGTTTTGGGACCTTCGGCCACGGCCACCGAAGTTTCTCTTCCACAGCTTCTTTTTTTGTTCCAGAAAAACAGGGCAGTCACCGAATCCACTCAAAAAAGTATTCTCGATTTTATGATTTTCTTGAAAAAGTATAAACAATAAATCTTAATCATCGATTTCTCTAAACTTCTAGAAGAATCTTGTAACTTTTTTTTTCAATTTTCCGTTGAAGTTCTTACACTGCTTCTAGTTAAGCGAGTCTAAAAATTTCACGATTTTCATAGAATTTTTATGACCAGTTGACACCACTCTGCTGTTATACAGAATCTTTTTTTTAGAAGACGTCACTTTAGAATGAAAAATATATTCATCATTTGCTATCGCAAGGCTTTACTGTATTTCTCTCTGCACTAACAGACACAATGCACTTTCCCTTTGAATGCTCCGTCCAGAAAATGTCACCGTTTTCTGAATCTTCTCTCTTCTTCCGTCATCTTTCCGTCACCCTCAAAAAACCGCCATAAATCGTTTTTGGTGTCACATTTTGCTACTGAACCTTCTTCTCCTTTCTTCATAATCCCTGCTTCTGTTTTCTAACCCCAACGTCTTCTGGCTTCTTCTTGGTCCATCCACAAACTTTTGTTTTGTTGTTGAAAGATGATTGAAACCTCTGGATTACCTTCTCTTCTTTTCGGCTCCCTTTTCCCCGCTCCACAATATTTTTCGTCATTTTCCAGGAGACTCGCCGAAAAGAGAATTTGTTCCCAATGAACTCATCTCTCAATCCAAATCCACCATAATCATGTGGAAGGTGTTTCTTCTATTCATTCTGCTGCTTAAATTTGGGGATGCCAGTGGAAATTGTGATGCAAAGAACTATCAAAGTGTGGGAAATGCACCAAATAATGCACTTATCTATGGAATCACCCAGGTACTTTAAATAAATATTATACCGTAAAACCTGTCATACAATGGCCCCTTACTATCAAGTTTGAGCTCAATTATCTCTGCTCCTATGAGAGATATCAAAAAGTGGTCAACTGATAACATGTTTGCTTATGACAAATATTTACAAGTTGACATTCTTTCTATCTTTTACATGAGATGAGATATATCAGCTGAAAGTCACAAGTTAAAGAGGCCCTTCTATTACAGGCTTAATCAAAACGAAACATTTTTATAGCATATAATGTACAGACTGATACTTAAAAGAATATTAAAGTATGAAATTCTAATACAATTTGAAAATCAGAAACATGCCTGAAAGATCTGAGCTAGAATCAATCTGTAGATGGTATGAAAGATGACTAATGAAGAATGTCAGATTGATTTTCTTTGAATGGCTAATCAAGTCCTTGAAACAGGAAAATTCCAAAACTTTCAGGACTGTCAAATGTTCTTCATCCGCCCATCACAACTTCATTTGCTCTCCACAATTCGAGTCGATAAGAGACATTCCTTCTGTTATGCCAACCTGGTACAATTGCACGTGAAAGTGAGTTTAGCTTTTATCACAGTAGCCAGCTTTCAAGCAAAATTTTCATGAATGGGTTTTGGAATTCTAACTTGTCTCAAACTTGAACTACGTCTCTGATAGAAACCAATTTTTCTCGTCATCTATTGAAGATATCAAGAAGTGGTTTCCTCGGATAGATTGCAAAAAACTAATGGGGTTATTCAGGGAGTCGGCAAATAAGGAAAAAAACTCCGCGAAAACTCGGAGAGTGTTCCAATCTGGCTGAAACTTTGGGGAAAACTGGAGAAAACTATAGGAAACATTTTGTCAAAGTTTGGGGTCAAAATATCGACTTTGAAAATTTGGCTGGAATTTCAGACGTTAATTTCGCGCTGAAGCGCTGAAGCTTTTTCAAAATATCACTGAAATGAAGATTTTTCCAATATGTATTTTTTGTCAAAATAAATTTCCAGTACAGTATTCTTTACACAATCTTTATGATAGAATCGTAAAACAGTTGACATCTTTTTTTTGAGTTTCGGAAGAAGAGCATTTCTTTAAGAACCACTAGGTAAAAAATGGTTCGATTGAAATGTATTCTTCCCAATAATACATTTCCTTTCGAATTTCAAGTCACATCAAAAGTTTTCACCGTTTCAAATAGTTCTCAAATAAACTTGTTAGTATAATTCAGCATTATTTTTTTGACGATAGGCTAACCTTGAATCAACTCATTCCAGGCCCACGACACACTCCTCCTAACATTCAAACAGGCCAGCAATCGGATATGCACTCTGGAAGTTCACATTCCCGCACTAAACATGCTATTCGGAGATCATCTGTTCAGGTTTGTTTGCGAAAAATTTTGTTTCAGCAGTTTGATTTTTATGTAGTTTGGTGAATCTAGTCGGTCTCTCAAAATGATGTGATTTGAATTTCGAACTTGATTATTAATGAAAGCCTTAAATCAACCACATGTATATTCGCAGGGTGGCGCACTATTAGCCGGACTGTTAAAATCGAGTATATCTCTAGACATAAGTATCTCAGAAGCAAGAAAATTGGAAGAAGTAAAATTTAACGTTTGGTTCAAAGCCACTAAACCCAAGTCTCGGAATCGCCTCGGTACTAACCACAAGTCTCGGTATTGCTGTGATTGTCCAGAAATGAACGGCGTAATGCTTCTTTGCGATTTTCATGCAACTTTGGCAAACGATAACTCAGCTCAAAGTTGACCAAATAGTTTGAAACTTGATCAGTTAACTAATGAATTATTGGGATTTCGGCACTCCAAATTTGAGCCCGGTACAATAATTTTGTTCAATGTTATGCTAGTACAAACTTTAATCCTGGAATTATGCGCCCTTTTGAGCTAAACAGGCAAGCTGTAAGCGTCAAAAGTATTAGGAAATTCGTAGAGAGTTTGACGATGGATATTAGTAAACTTCCATTATTCTAAACATTTTTATTTAATCAATTCTCAATTATCTCTTACAGATACTCCCTCCTAAACTCGCTTCCCTATGCCTCATGTTCCTATTCCAAAGACCAAACATTCCAACTCGAACCGGATCTCTCATTTATGGATCCAGTATACAACGATGTAATTTATTTCATTGACGCTCTTTCTTCTGGGAAACAATGGAAAGTTCTACAATTCCTTTTGAAGGACACTGGAACTATGAGCATGATGAACAATTTGACTGTTTCACTTCAGACAAGTAAGTTGTGCTGTTTAATGAACTTTGATTACATCTTAACTCTAGGAGACTCATCTGCCAACGAATTCGTAGCATCACTTGACAATCAACGGGACAAACTGTACAGAAGAAATCGTTTCGATAACCTCATCTACCAACAGTGTGCATTTGAAATGATGTTCAGGTAGGGTCGGAATATTTTGTCTCGATTATAATATGGTTTTCGAAATTCGAATTTATAGGCCGAAAGAAACAGAAGTTAGTAGTTTTGAAACACCGGCAAGAGGATATGGTGCAGTTCTGAATGGACAATCAGTGGATGGAGATTTTATGGTTTATGTGGAAACTGATAGAACTGTAAGTTCTAACAGAAACATCGATGCTGACAGAACTTTCAGACGGATCCACCGACGACGCGTCTGAATATGTTGTCTACCAGTCATCCAGAACATGTTTCATGTGTTTCTGCTACGTCATTCTCCTATGATGTGGGAATTATTCGAGAGGCAACAGTGACAAAATTGAAATCAGAACCAAGACCTCCATTTGGTGGGTTTCTTATCTTTGACTGATTTACAGGGTTCCAACTACTGTGGTATGCGGATGCGCTCTAATGAAAAGGGGCGTGGCAAAGCATAAATAAATAACTAGACGACACGCCCCTTCTCATTAGAGCGCATTTTCAAATTTTAGGAACCAAAGTGTCTCCTCGACCTAGCTCGAAAGCTGAGAAACTCAACGATCAAGCCAGCAAAAGAAATCGAAATTCGACGCCTTCCCCCACCGCTTCAGAGAAAAAGAAGCCGACGTCTCCTTCTTCTTCTTCAACTTCCACACCTTCTGAACCACCACCCAACGTTCCAACATCGGTCAAACCGAAAGGAACGTATTCCCCATCGAAATCATTTTTCAGTTATGAATTCGGTGGAGCTGGAACGACGGCATCTGCTCCAGAAGTGATTTCTAATGAGATTCCAGTCAAAGAGATCGCAGCGGAACAAGTGAGAGATGAGGAAGAGTTAAATGAAATAATCAAGGAATTGAAATCGGATGAAGAGAAAGGAGAAGAAGAGGATTCTGAAGATTCTGGAGAAGACGTCGGAAAAGAAGAAAACGACGTTGGAGAGATGAAAACTAGAGAGGTGAATATAACAACTGAAAAAGGAGGCGATTCTTCGGAATCCTCCAACGCAACGTCTTCAGATGCCGAAGCGGTGAAATCCAGTAGAATATCGATGAATTCAAATCTAATTGTACTTTTTATTTCCGCCATTTCTATTTTCAATTATTTCAATTAGTTTCTCAATATGTACACCTGGTGCTTTCTGTCGATATTGACCCAAATAAAGAATTAAAAGCTTTATCTTTTCGCTTCTGAAATTGAGTGAAAAACCAATATAACCTTTATTAAAGAACCAATTTCAAGCGGTATGTTATGTGGAGTTAAAGCAATGCGGGAAGGGTGAAGAAGATTTGAAATCTAATGATTGGGGCTGGAATTCTTAACAAGTGAATAATGGGTGGAGAAAGAAATGCAATCAAACTGAACTGATTATTTTAAAAAACGAGTTGGAGCCGTTCATAGCGATACATCTTAATGAGCAATGCCCATGGTGTCAGGAAGAATTGGACCTTGAGACTTGGCAAGGAGCTCAGACGAGATCTTGAGATGATGTGGTTGCTCCCATGGGAAGGCGTTGTGTCCGAAGTGACCGTTCTCGGCTGTTGGCTCGTAGATTGGTCTCTTCAAGTTGAGGTTTCTGAAAAGTTATTGATGAATGTTCGTTTGGGTCCTGTTTAGCTCACTTGATGATCATTCCTGGTCTCAGGTCAAAGTTTTCGTTGACAATGGTTAAGAGTTCCTCCTCGCTCAGTGCAGATGTTCCGAATGAGAAGACCATGATGGAAAGTGGCTTGGCGACTCCGATAGCGTAGGATACTTGGACGAGGCACCGACGGCAAAGTCCGGCCTTGACGAGTGATTTGGCAACCCAACGAGCAGCGTAAGCGGCAGAGCGATCGACCTTGGTTGGGTCCTTTCCGGAGAAGGCACCACCTCCATGAGCTCCCCATCCTCCGTAGGTATCGACGATAATCTTGCGTCCAGTGAGTCCGGCATCTCCCATTGGTCCTCCGACAATGAAAGATCCACATGGGTTGATGTGGTAGATGATGTCATCATCGATGAGGTTAGCTGGGATAACAGCCTTGATGACCTGTAAAAAAACGAAGGAATAAGAACGGACTTTAAAATATGAGATTTACCTTCTCGATGAGTTCCTTTCTCAAATCCTCGAGCGCAATATCTGGAGAGTGTTGAGTGGAGATGACAACAGTGTGGACACGAAGTGGAACACAGGCACCTCCCTCGGAAGCGTACTCGATAGTGACTTGAGTCTTGGAATCTGGGCGAACCCATCCGAGTTCTCCGGAGCGACGGAGCTCGTGGAGCTTGTAGTTCAACTTGTGAGACAGAAGAAGAGTCAATGGCATAGCCTCCTCAGTTTCATCGGTAGCATACCCAAACATGATTCCCTGATCTCCAGCTCCAACATCATCGCTGCTCTTGTCCATATGAACTCCAGCGGCGATTTCTGGTGATTGCTGTTCAAGAGCGACAAGGACGTTGCAGGTCTTGTAGTCAAATCCTGAAAATATCATTATATCAGCTGCTAGGGAAGTAGAGTTCGCCAAGGGAACATCACTGGAGTTTTCCGTCCACGCGCTGATAACGGTTCACTGTCAGTTGATAGCAATCCTTCCGCAAACAATGTCTATTTTAGTCTTCTTACCTTTGGACGAGTCATCGTATCCGATTTTCTTGACGACGTTACGAACGAGAACTTGATAGTCAACGTGGGCTTTCGAGGTGATCTCACGCACAACATGATCATACCCGTTTTAGTCACCGTTTCTGTAATCAAAGTAACCATAGTAACAGGTAAGAAAACATATTGTTGCGACAAGCGTCATCCCCTTTCATCCAACACCCGCAGAGCCTGTAAGTAAAGACATGATTAGGCGAAACAACGAGAGAACATTAGCGAACGAAACGAGTTCACCAACGATTCTCTCGTAATAACACAAAACGATATTCATGCTCGCAGTAACTAGGTTACTCGATGTTCTGAATTGTCGGTGAACTGCCAATGCCATCAATTCTCTGAATGGTGTCTAAGAAAAAGGGATTAATCAGCTCATCACGGCTCCAACGAAACATCCGCTTGTCGTTAAATCCCTGAACCACTTACCACAGGCAACTTTGGCGTGAGGATCTTGTGCGAGATGAGCATCAAGAACCGCATCCGAGATCTGAAAGGTTTACTGAATGATACCGTGATCTGGCCAATTGTTCAACTCACTTGATCACACATCTTATCCGGGTGACCTTCCGACACGGATTCAGAGGTGAAAAGGAATTTGTGTTGCGACATCGTTGATTGAACCGATTCTTCTGGAAAAGCTATACGATTGAAGTGACAGTGAGGGGAGCACGAATGGAGTCGAATTGAGGTGAACAACAAGAAAAAGTGGATGAAAGGGCGGGGCGCCACGCAATATTCGTTGGATGTGTTTCTCTGTGTCTCTCACTCAACGAAACGTTTCTTTGAACGCGCTGCAGGGATGGCGCTGCTGGTTATGGACATTTTCGAGAAGAGCAAACGAAGATTTTTAGTTAGCAGAGAATGGAAAAATTGGAAGAGGGAGAGCTCTCCGGAGAAAAGGATGCGAGATGCAATAATTTCAGAAAAGGGGGATTAAAGTTTATAGAAAGAAGCAAAATTGATCAAATTGTTTCAAGCAGAAACAACACAATTTTTGATTCTGAGAAGGAGTTTCAATATTGCTCCAGTATCAGCGGAGAAAATATTACTCTCGTCCGAAATCAATGCACGTTGCGGCCGAAAATTTACTCAAAATCGCATCGTCGGTCGCAAACCGAAAAAACAAATTGATGCATGCGCTTTTAAATACCGTACCTCGGACGCTTTTTATTTTGGGCCCTATTTGGCTGTTTTTTTTCTATTTTATAAGAATAATAAACTGAAGATTTATAAGAATTAGATAAAATTAGACAGAAACAAGCGCGAAAGTGAGAGAAAAAGGCAAAAAATCGATAAATATTGAGGTACTGTATTAAAGGCGCGTGCATTAATTTGAAAAATACAGTAAGGTTCTCTCCGTGGGAGCTAAGCTCCGCCCACCGTTGTTTTCTCGGCCGCAACGTGCATTGATTTCGGACAAGAGTAATAGCAGAGAGCTCGCAGGGTCCGTAAACACCGGGTGAGCATATGCTCGACACTTTACGACAATCCAACAAGCGTGGAGAGGGAAGTGGGATGTAAAGGGAAACTTTGGATGACAAAGCTGGTAGTAAATTGGAGCTAGACACAGTGTTTTTTCCAGCTAGGTATGCAAATGCACTTTAATGAGGTGACGTGGCAAAATTTTAGGCCCGTGAAAAATTAATTTTGAGGTGAAAAATCAACTTAAAATTTTGAGAAATTTGAATTTTCAAAGGGCTAAAGCTTCGCCACGTCATTTTCTCATTAAAGCGCAACATTATCCCTCACTGAAAAAAACCCTGTGGCTAGATACTTAAAATATAAGGAATCAATGAGCTAGAAAAAGAGAGTTCACCTTCAAAAAAATATATCGGTGAAGAAAAAAAACTGGAACTTCTGAGGAAACTCGTATTGAGATTTCTCTGATGCGGGAGGTGACGTGCCACCTACCTTATCGGTGGCGTTCGAGCTACATGCCACGTTTGTATGTCATGGTGGTCTAGGTCAGAGGAAGGTTATCACGTTACGATAGGCAATAAACACATCGGAGACCAAGTAGGTTATTGAGAGACGAAAACTAATGAAAAGAAGAGTAAACACAGACCCAGTTATCTTTTGAGAAAATATTGACATCATTTTGGCCCTCTCTTACTATAAAAATGTTGCATTTTTTTCTTTTCCGATCTACTCTTATACTGAATTTTTTTTGATCTTGCCGACTTTCTAGAGCAAAGACCTTCCTCATAGTAAAGCGGAATGGAAATCTAAATCTATTTTTCGATCTGACCGGTCGAGAAGAGTTGAAAGTGCAGTCAGAGGGATAGAGCAAATATTTGAAAAAAATTGAGAAAATTTTGCCGATATCTAGCAGATTTCCCGAGACGATGATTTTACTTGCTCCGCGAGCATCGACTTCTCAGGTTAAACTTGGCCTAAATACTTTTGCCGGATGTTGTGCTTTGTAGCTAACTAGAATGTGTCGCTGTGGTTTGTTCTCAAAACGGACCACTTTTTTGTGCTCGGGAAATCTCTAGAATCGTAGCGAATGTTGCAAGTTCGACAGCTGGTTCAACTTGGCTTTTTGTCTTTCTTTTTTAATGGATTTTCGATCAGCAAACAAATATTATATGTTGTGGCGATGAAAAACCAATATAGAAACGATTGAAGTCTGCAAAGCTGCCCTTTGCACTCTTGATGTTTAAGAGGAGAAAATTTTAATGTTCGAAATTCGTATGCAAGAAAGTGGAAAATAGACGGAAAACGAATTATCGGAAAATGACGATTTCGGTATGCAAGAAAATTTTCGTTTTCCGGAAAACCGTTTTCCAGGCGTTTTCTTTCCCGAAATTGTCAAAGAAGATTTTCCAAAGAAAACGGTCTTCTGGAAAATCCTTCTTGCATACGGCCTCTGAACTGCCCGGAATGCCGAAGGAAACTTCTGTTTTATTTTTTTGTAGCCACTTCAACTGGCGAACACAGACATGACAAAAAATAAAAAGTCAAATAGAGAGATCACTTTTAGAATGATGACAACATCAACGTCACTAATGAATTGTCATCAGCTCACATTATGACTTCTAATTTCTAGAAAAAAAACTGTTTAGATTCCCAGTCCCGATTAAAACAAAAATTTAGGACAAAAACGAAAAATTACGATTCAAATCTCCTTTTTTCCAGGCCAAATGTTGCCTTTTTTCCACTACAATGACTATCCCTTATCTCAAATAGGATCGGCCCTGTTTTCTGCGATGATGATCCAAGCAAATTTCTCGTTTTTCTGTTTGATTACGCAGAGATGATGATCTAAACCTTTTCTCGTTACAAAATGCGCATAAAATCTCTATAAAATGAGAAGAAATCCTGCATAAAATTCAACTGAATATGTTGAAACTTCGATTGTCGTAAGATGAGCCACATTGGACGCAGCAGTTAGGCGGCAGTGTTTGCACATTTCGAAGAAAAGTGTGCACTTTATTTTAGGCCAATTTCCTCAAAATTACCCTATTTTGCTCAAAAAGTCGTCGTTTTTTTTGTTGAATTTGTTTATTTTATGTTAAAAAATAGTTCTTCATGTAATTTCTTGATCAATTCTAACGAGATATTAGTATTTTTGCCCAAATCCTTGGGATTTTCATCTCCTACCAGCCAGATTTTCACCCCGTGTTTCAATCACCTAAGTTAGATATTCTTGCATTTGGATAGTGAGCCATCATTCCCCCTCAACTTCTTAACTTTTTTCTTCTCCTAGACTCTTCTTTGATTTCTCAAAAAACCAACGTTCAATCTACAAAACCACACCCTTTTCTGATTTCCATATTTTTACATGCCAGCAACAATATTTAGAACAGTCTAGCCGTGTAGAGATTCAAAGTTATCGGTCGTTTCGGTGGGCGTGGCGCCCCGCCTCTCTCTTTCTCCCATCTCGTCGCTTCCCGCTCCACTTCATTCATTCGAGCTAAAAACCGCTCTTACAGACCCAATCTTCCTGACTTCTACTCTTCCGTTAACAATGGTTCACAAGTTTCTTTTCACTTCTGAATCCGTCTCCGAGGGACATCCGGATAAGATGTGTGATCAAGTAAGTGCAAGACGTCCTGAGATATTACGTCCAGAGATAAATATCGCTATTTCAGATTTCCGATGCCGTTCTTGACGCTCACCTTGCCCAAGACCCAAATGCCAAAGTTGCTTGTGGTAAGTATTTCAGTGCTTTATGACAGCAGCAACAATTGGATCGGATGCAGTGGCGAGCGAATTGTCCTTCTTCTCCTTTACATCGTTCAGAGACTCAACGACATGACAGCGAACAGTGACAGACCGATTTTGAAATCGTGGTAGCTACTAAAGTTACTGCGAGCTTGAATATTGTGTTGTGTTATTACGAGAGACTCGTTGGTGAACTCGTTTCGTTCGCTAATGATCTCTCGTTGTTTCGCCTAATCATGTCTTTACTTACAGGCTCTGCGGGTGTTGGATGAAAGGGGATGACGCTTGTCGCAACAATATGTTTTCTTACCTGTTACTATGGTTACTTTGATTACAGAAACGGTGACTAAAACGGGTATGATCATGTTGTGCGGTGAGATCACCTCAAAAGCCCAAGTTGATTACCAAGTTCTCGTTCGTAACGTCGTCAAGAAAATCGGATACGATGATTCGTCAAAAGGTAAGAAGACTAAAATAGTTCAAGTGTTATCAGCTGTCAGTCACATGTCTTCAGCACGTGGAATACTGGACTTCTTGTTGTTCTCTCAGCGAACTTATTTTTTCTAACTGGGTTGTTTTTAGGATTCGACTACAAGACCTGCAATGTCCTCGTCGCTCTTGAGCAACAATCACCGGAGATCGCTGCTGGAGTTCATATGGACAAGAGTAGCGATGACGTTGGCGCTGGAGATCAAGGAATCATGTTTGGATATGCTACCGATGAAACTGAGGAGGCTATGCCATTGACTCTTCTACTGTCTCACAAATTGAACTACAAGCTCCACGAGCTCCGTCGCTCCGGAGAACTCGGATGGGTTCGCCCAGATTCCAAGACTCAAGTCACTATCGAGTACGCTTCCGAGGGAGGTGCCTGTGTTCCACTTCGTGTCCACACTGTTGTCATCTCCACTCAACACTCTCCAGATATTGCGCTCGAGGATTTGAGAAAGGAACTCATCGAGAAGGTAAATCTAATATTTTAAAGTCCGTTATTATTCCTTCGTTTTTTTACAGGTCATCAAGGCTGTTATCCCAGCTAACCTCATCGATGATGACATCATCTACCACATCAACCCATGTGGATCTTTCATTGTCGGAGGACCAATGGGAGATGCCGGACTCACTGGACGCAAGATTATCGTCGATACCTACGGAGGATGGGGAGCTCATGGAGGTGGTGCCTTCTCCGGAAAGGACCCAACCAAGGTCGATCGCTCTGCCGCTTACGCTGCTCGTTGGGTTGCCAAATCTCTCGTCAAGGCCGGACTTTGCCGTCGGTGCCTCGTCCAAGTTTCCTACGCTATCGGAGTCGCCAAGCCATTGTCCGTCATGGTCTTCTCCTTCGGAACTTCTGCCCTCAACGAGGCTGAGCTTTTGACCATTGTCAATGACAACTTCGACTTGAGACCAGGAATGATCATCAAGTAAGAACATTTCTGTGACGAACGAATTTTAAATGTGGATTTTTCAGGAACCTCGACTTGAAGAGACCAATCTACGAGCCAACCGCCGAGAACGGTCACTTCGGGCACAACGAGTTCCCATGGGAGCAGCCACGTCATCTCAACATTTCTTCTGAACTTCTCAACAAGGTCCAAACAGCTCCAAAAGCTAACGGAAATGGAATTTCTCATTAAATTCCAGTCCTTAGCACCTCTTTTTCAGTTATTTGGTTTTTTGGGTATTTCTTGATTAGTTTTTCTATATACTAAGTCATTTTAGTCGTTCTATATACTGATTGCTCTATTGGATCTTTGCCATTCACTTGAACGTATTATCCATCCATCCTTGCTTATATTCCCTCGATTTATATGATCCTCTGTGACATTGCAAATGTTGTTTGCCCCTCCCCTTCCAGTTCTTCCCATGGGTTAAACCTAGTTCATACTTTTCTACTGCAACTGATTTTTTTGGTTTTTAATAAAATATATTTATTGGAAAGAAGAAAATTTCAATAAGTGAAACAATACTGAAAATTGAGCGAAGACGAATCGAAATGAGGCACGAGTGGATGGAAGTGGGGGAATGATTAGGGAATCTTAAAATGCAATACTGCTTCGGTAACGACGATCATCTGAATATTGTTGTTGTTGATCGTGTTGCTTCTGGAATCGATAAATTCGACGTTCAGCGGGACCGCCCATCTCTTTTGTGTGAATCGAAAGTGGTGAATAATCGACTGGTGGAATTTTTTCAGAAGTCGTCAAAAGCTGATGGCTGGATCTAGACAAGAAGGCCTGAAATTTTGAATTTTCAAGATTTTGCAAATTATGAACTTTTGAATTTTTAGAATTTTAGAGTTTTTTAAACTTTAAAATTTCGAATTTTAAGAGTTTTATATAAATAAAAGTTTTTAAAATTTTAGAATTTTTCGAATTTTGAATAGAATTTAAAAAATTTTGAATTTTTCGAATTTTTTTTCGGATTATTTTTGCATTTTTAAAGTTTTTTTTCCGAGTTTTTTAAATTTTAGAACTTGGCATTTTTAGAGTTTTAGAGTTGTTAAAATTTTTATTGTTGAATTTTTAGAGTTTTGAAGTTTCAAAAGTTTTAGAACTTTAGAATTTTAGAATTTTAGAATTTTTGAGTTTTAGAGTTTTTCAATTTTCAGAATTTTTGAATTGTAGAATTTAGAATTTTCAGAAGCCATAAAATTATAGAATTTAGAATTTTCAGTGTTTTCGAATGTAAAAAATATTATTAATTTCAGAGTTTTTAAAATTTTTTAGAAATTTTTTTAATTTCCAGAATTTTACAGTTTCCAGAATTTAAAAAAGTTCTAGAATTTTTTTTTTCAACTAACCGGCTCTTTTCTATCGTTTCTTCTAGCTTCAATCTCGAAAGCTGCTGTTTTTTCCAGTACACTACTTTTCCGTCTGCGTCTCTTCTCCTCATCATTCTCTTTTTCACTTTCATTGGAAACGACCGGTGGAGGGTCCATGCCAAAGTAGAATTCCGGAAGACTGTCTATTCCTGAAAAAATATAGTTCTTGAAGTAAAGTTATATCTAAAATTCGTGAAAAAAATACCTAAAAAAGATAGCATTTTTCAAACTTTTTCAGTGGAAAATACCGTATTTTCTCTTCGCTCACCCCAAACTTGAATTTTGAACTCAGTTATAATTGTTCATATGAGAGATTTAAAAAATGTGTAAACTGATAAAATGGTGGTGATATTATGATAAACCAGCTAGCTGGTGCGCCTTCGGCGCGATTTAACCTAGTTTATCACTGGTTTGTCTCTCCACCCTTCACTTTTTCTTAAAGGGTCACGTAAATCTATATTAATTTTTCAAATTTATCAAAAGTAGACAGCCTGATACCGGGACAGACAGACGCGTGTAGCGTTTTATATATAGGAAGATGATTTATCAGTTGACCACTTCTTGATATCTTTTACAGGAATCGAGATATTTGAGCTCAAAGTGGACGTGTAAGGTGGACTTCTTTTAGAGCTTTTATGGTAGTCAACCTTGAAACCTTGAAAAAGTATTCCAAATTTTCTTGATTTTTCTGAAAATTCTGGAATATACTAAACAAAAATAGAGCTTCAAATTTGTAGTTGACAACTTATTTCAACAAATCCATCGAAGATCGATAGATCTATTGAAAATAGAACAACTAGAAGATTTATCACTTGGTGGATTTCTCATTTGAATGAAACTGTACAAAAAAGTGTACAAAATTGAAAAAAACTGAACAAAACTGAACAAAACTGAAGCTCTATTTTTTGTTTAGACATTTTTCCATCTTATTCAACAAAATCTACTAAACTTTTCAGACATCCAAAGTCTGAAAATTATAGAAAATAATTATCGTTAATGTTCTAATAGATATCCATCCAAACTATCATTTTGAGCTCAATTACCTCGGCTCCTTTTGAAGATATCAAAAATGTGTCTACTGATAAAATTTTAAACATAATATAACAAGTAGTGAATTTCAAAAGTTTTAATTTTCACATCAAAGTACTGAAATTTCAAAAATTTTTGTGAACCACGTGAATCTTTTGAATCTCCCAAAAGATGAACCGTTAAGTTTTTGGGAGCAACGTGTTTTTCAACAAATATAACAGAAATACACTTTCTGAATATTTTTCCCAAAATTAAAACTTTTGAAAATAACTACTCGTTATATCACAAATATTTTATCAGTTGAAAAATGTTTGATATCTTTTACAGGTATTGAAATAATATACCTCAAAGTTGACTGTTGGGGTGGGCTTCTATTAGAGGAAATACGGTAGTTGAAAAATTTAGACGGTACTTGAAAAATTTTGACAGGCGCTACAAACACTGTAAAACTGTTCAAAAAATCCCTCACTTTTCGACTCTCTTTTCAGCTTATCCTCTTCCTCATTAACCCATGAAAAATCAATTTCCGACTGATCACATCTCATCTGTGAAGTGGCAATTGACGATGATCTGGATCCATAGGATGGTTGTCCCCGGATGATTGGCTGTGCATACGTGGCGTTGGATCCTGGTGCAGCAACATGATGATGTTGGATTCTTGATGACGTGGATGACGTCGTTTGAGTGGTTGATGGAGGCTTTTGTGGTGGTGGCTCTGGGGATGACACTTGCTGCTCCAATTTCTCACTTCTCTCAACTTTCACCTCGATTGTTTTTGTGATTGGCTGAAAAAATGAATTACTGTTTCTGAATTTTTATGAGTTGTTGTCCAGTTATGAAGTTATGTTGAAATCAGTCTAGATCGTCTAACTATTAACTTACTGGTTGTGGAGAAGTAACCTGACGATGTGAAATTTGTTGATGATTATGATGATGTGGTGTGCTACTGTACATTGGTGGCGAGAGTATATCTGAAAAATAGGTAGTTTAGGTTAGAATTCTCAGAATCCGAAATTCGAATTGCAAACTACAGTAACTCAAGTTTATGAATCTCACCTCGTTTCCCAGAAGAAATACTGGAACTGTTCCATGGATCTGAAGAATGTCCACCTTCTTCTGACGATGTCATTGGGGACGATGAGGCCAACGAACCGTTCAGTTCGGTTCGTCGGTTGGTGCTTCTGGAAAATTGCAGTTTCAAATAGTGCTAAAAAATTACAGAAAAATTGATGATCTAATCCTATATCCATAGACTCCATAAAAGCAAACAGTCAACTGTGTCAAATTTTTCTCGTTTCCTGTGAAAGATATCAAAAAGTAGCCAACTGACAAAATATTTATTATAATGTCAAAAATATTTTTGTAGTTGACCACTTTTTGATATCTCTAGCAGGAACCGAGATAAATTTGGTCGAAATCGTTAATCAAGTGTCTCTCTATTGATTGATGGTTTCACTTCAGTTATTTTTTGCTAATCTAACTGTTTTATATTTTTGTCATAATCTAAAAAACTCAAATTTGTAGCTAAAAACAAAACTCACGAGTAATTGTGCTTCACATATTGACTCTGCGTCTCCCGTCTCGTCGGTAACCCTCGTCGTTCTTCTGAAGCTCTCCAATCCCGTGGCCTCAGTCGAACGTCGATTTCTGGAGCTTCGTGGTGCATCCTGCAAATTTCAATTTCAGGTTTCCTAAGGTTTATTCTTGGAAATCGAAAAGGGGGTTAGCAAAAATCCCTGTTTCAACATGCTAAATCATAGGTGATTTTTGGTGCTTTATCTATTCGGATTCATTTTTCTTAATCAATTTGGATTCATTCACACTTTAACAATTCCGTTCTTCTGTAGTATCCAAGTTTCCCCAAAGAAGGAACCGTCTTTACTTTTCCAAATGCATGTTTAAATCCATCAAATTCCAATTCCCCAATCCATTTCAACTTCTTTTTTCCCTCCGTCCAAAAAGGCAACCATCCAGTTTTTTAGTTACATTTCTCCCTCATTTTCGGCCATCTGGTGCGTGTTCGTTTTCCATTTTCTCGTTCAATATATCCGGAGAAAACGAAGAGAGATTCACACTGCGAGATTAGCGAGATTTCGAACGATTTCTCTCTTTGAAAATGACCAAATAATGAGAATTGAAGACAGAGGAAATAGTAGCATAACGAGTGAGATGAAGGCAATTTAGCCTTGAACACCTTTGGAAAGCAATAAGAATCATTAGAAAACGACGTTAAGATAATTCTAATTTACTAATGATCACGATCGTTTTCATCAAAAGAGGTAATAGCATATTAGAAGATTAGGTACCGTAAAACCTATAATAAAAGGTCCCCAAACGTTTCACCGTGAGCCAACTTGTCTCGGTTCCTGTCAAAGATATGAAAAAGTTGTCAACGGATAAATTGTTTATCATAATATCAGAAGTTTTTTGTCAGTTGACAGATTGTTTATATCCTTCATAGGAATTGAGATAATTGTGCTTAAATTTGAGAGCGCAGGGACCCTTCTATTACAGATTTTACGGTATATAACAGAAAACTTGGTTCGAAAGCTAAAATGAAGAATAGCTAGCTTTGAAGGTCTGGAAAAATTGTTTGGAAATGCTCGGCTTTCCAGAAAAAAGAAAGTGAGGTTTTCAGAAAAAAAACCCAATATTGTTTTTTCTGGGCGTTTCTATGGTACTTTATGAAGCTTTAAAATGTTGGGATCGCTTATCTTTTCTATGTCAGTATTTATAATCTCTTTGAAACAGTAAACTTCCCACTTTTCCATTTAACTTCATTTCTTTTCCTATTTATACATATCTTCCAATTAGTCGGTGCACTGCACTTCTTCTCCAATAAAAAAAACTACGAATTTAAAGGCGCATGAAGGAACCAAAAATTAGATATTTCAAAAGTAGGTTATATTCTGCTGGAAGCTGTTGAATCCTATACTGTTACAATTTTCGAATTAGGATGTTAGTTTTTTTCTGAGCGTTTTATGGTACTTCAATTTTCAGTATGCTAATTTATGGAACTTTGAAATGATGAAATATGACTTCGGATGGCAGTGTATGTTTTGAACAGTACAACCGTCACAAGTATCCCTTATCATTTTCTATGCCAGTTTTTATAACCTATTTGAAACAGAAGAAAATTCCAACACTCAACCATATTCTTCCATTCCTTCTCATATTCCCACACATCTTCCAATTAGTCGGTGCACTTTACTTCTTCTTCTCTAATAAAAAACCCGCAAAAGGTCATTTTATTGTCCATTATGGCCAGCCTAACACTCCAATCATGGTCCCGACACAAAAAACGAACGTCTTGTGCGTCCTTTCTCCTTGCCTTTCCCTCCTTAATAGTCCGTGACCCATGACCCGGAACACTTTTGTGTTATAATTGCAATTTGGTGGAATCCTAGAGGGATTAGAAGAGGATACAAGGAATGAGGATGAGAGGATAAGATTTGAGGGTCAGGTGGAAATGGAATGAGCTTTATTGTTTTAGTTTCATATACCCAGCTTTGATCAAAATGCTATAGCACCGATCATATAAACCAAAATCTGAAGCAGAAACATTTTGAACAATCGCCTCTATAATTGTGTCTTCACTACGGTATTCCAATAATCCCTCTAATAAGGAAACCATTCGACCCTTCAAATCGTAATCCTTTTGAAAGTAATTGAAGGATTATGGTAATCTGGGGTCATAATGAGTAGGTATCCTTCACCGCTCAATTTAGAAAGGAACGGTTTGAATTTACAATGTCATTGCATGTTATCTCGCTTCCTGTGAAAGATTTCAAAAAGTGGTCAACTGACAAAATATTTTTGAAATTATGTTAAACATTTTGACAGTTAACCACTTTTTGATATATCCTACAGGAAATGATATAAATGGGTTCAAAGTTGAAAGTTAGAGGGCCTTGTTACAGGTTTACTGTAGTTGGCTGAACTTTCACAAAATTGAAATTGAACATTGGGCTCCACAACTCCTAAACTTCTTCTTTTCAAGTAACCCTTATCAATGACTTTTAAAAACTACTAATTTTTCTCAAAATTTTCTGAAAATCTTTTTTTTGTGGTTTGAAGGTAGTTATTCGAAATTCCAAAATTAAAATCCTTGCTAGATAGGTTCTGCTGAATCAGCAGTGCTGATTTTCCGCGTTAGAAATATATCACAAAAATTCAAACTACCGACGATTTTCCAATCGAAGCTCCAGCGTTTTTCAAATCCCAACACCAGCTCCTTACATGATAACTGTTGTCCGCGAAACAGAAAATTTTCCAAAATCTCTCTTTTCTCTTCTTTTCCTAGATATTTCAAATCTCCTCATCCATAATTCAAAATTTCACATCTAACTAGTTTCCTCCAGTCCCCCATATAATTATGAACCATCCTTCCGTGTCCCTCCCCCCATTTCCCAACTTTTTTCGATGCCATGTGGGCTTGCGCATCAAAATGAATGAAAACAAGCACTCGAAAAACGGACCGGCTGTGTGAAGTGAGAAGAGAGAATGGTCATGCTCACTCTCGCGGGAGCCCATGACCAGAAGCTTATTTGATCACGCCGCGGCGTTGCAGAGAAAATCACTCAGTATCAATTGTGATAATGATGATTATCAGAAAATGTGTGAGAAAGTGGTCTTGGCGGATTATATGAAACGAGACAGGCCGGAAGGGCAAATAGAGACACAATCAAGGACAAAGATTACGGAAGCGTCTAGACACTGATTACTGTAACTCTTATAGTTTTTGATGAGATCATAAAAAGTATCAAAAAAGATAACGCTTCATTTTAAAATCATCCATTTCTATCTAGTCCAAGTTCCTAAACTTCCAGTTCATGAGCATTTCAGAATCTCCTATTCAATTCTCCACCAAAATTCCTTCACCCAAACTCCCCTTTGCCCTTTCTAGGCACAAAACGGTCATTCTCCCGTTTAAAACCCATACTAGAGACGGAAAACATATGTACAAAACAGTAATGAGTCCTTCTTGAGAGCAAACAAGTCCTCTCTCATCTGACACCTTCTTCCTCTTCTCCAATACCGAACACATTTACATTTACGCGTGTGTGTGTTGACACCGAAACAATTCCTCCTTCTTGTTTCGAATGAACGGGTAGATCGGAAGCCGAGGAGGAGGTCAAATGTGGTCAAATAAGTGCAAATGTGCGCGCGCTCCGTTTTTGATGAAAATGAATAGGTGGAATGGGTTCTTGTGGGTGGTTATGGTTCGTGATCAAAGGATCATTGTTGGGGTATCAGTATAAAGAATGAAAACCTGAGCTGCTAAATTTTTGGTTATTTGAATCTCTGAATCTCTAAATTGAAGATACCAAGAATCAAAAGGTTCGAACAAAAAAAACGTCAGAGCAACGCTAGTAACAAGAAAATCAGAATGTCATAGTTGTGAAACCGAAAAAAATGTGAGTTAGAAAAATTTTTCTGTTTCACAGCCAAAATTTAGTTTTACTGTGGTTTCTAGTAATGCTTCTTTGATCATAAATGATGTTGTTGGAAAATAGGCACAACCTAATTTGGCTACCGTGAATGCTCTAATAGCAGAAATCCTATACGGGCAGTTTGAGGTCAATTATCTCGGTTCCTATGAAAGATATTAAAAATCTGTCAACTGCTGATATATTGGTGATATTATAATAAATAATTTATCAGTTGGCGACATTTTTATATCTCTGACAGGAAGCGAGATAATTGAGATCAAAGTTGGCGGTTTGGGTGGCATTCTATTAGAGTGTTGTACGGTATCTGGATCTCTGAATCGAAAGTGCCGGAAATCAAAGTGTCTGGAAATCCTGTAGCAAACTCTTACAGAGAAACATCATCACTAGTAGCAAAAATCGAAACGAGACAGCTTTGAAACCGAAAATATTTTCGACTAACAAGGGAACATTTTTGAGTTGTCCGGCTGACTTGCATAAACTTACCATAGAGAATGAAAGAACATCTCAAAACCTTTAAATCCGTTTTCAAAATCTGCTCAAGAGACCTCTAAAGTGCTGAAATTTTAGTACCCAAAATCACTTTTTCAGTGTAAAATCTACCATTTTCAAATTTGATTTTCTCCATTCCTAGAAGGTTTTAGGACTTGAAACTTTTTATGTTATACTCAAAACTATGTGAAATTTTATATTTTTACATTTTTTCAGAAAAGTGTTCAAAGTTGGAAACATGGGCTCATCCAAAGTGTAGGCAAATTTGACCAAAACTTTTCGGAAAATTTATTTTATTCTGAAAAAAAGTAAAGATATGACATTTCACATAGTTTTGAGTATAACACAAAAAGTTTTAAGTCCTGAAACCTTCTAGGAATGAAGAAAATCAATTTTGAAAACGGTCGATTTTACACGGAAAAAGTGATTTTGGGTACTGAAACTAAAATTTCAGCACTTTAGAGGTCTCTTAAGCAGATTTTGAAAACGGATTTAAAGGTTTTGAGATGCTCTTTCATTCTCTATGGTTAGTTTATGCAAGTCAGCCGGACAACTCAAAAAGGTTCCCTTTTAAGATAGGATAAAAAACCCTAAAGCTAGAAGTTTAAGAGCCCTATCAACTCCAAGTCTCCAAATTTGTGAATTTCAGAGACTCAATTTTAATCTTACAACTTTAGAGAGTTCGAAAAAAAACAGGAAATCTAAGAACTAATTTTCAGGAACCCCTAAATCTAGAGAACGTTGAAATCTTGAATTCCTGACTGGAGAGCAAGCTTCCACTTTTTGAATTTTGCTTTCTTCCTTCCCTTCTTATAATTTCCCCGTATTCTATTCAAATTCTCATGCCTTCATTGAACCTAAGAATCGGCCAAAAAAAAAGAAAAAAAAACCAAAACACAACGATCCATATACATCAACCCTTTAATTATGGCCTTTCTTCTCTTTTCCCGAATATTCCTGATGACAATAGAAACCGCAAAGTTGTGGGGTCTCTTTTCTCTTCAAAAATTGACCTTCCTCATGTCTTGGAATGTCTTCCTTCCAACCTTGACGTGTCTCTCACTCCCCGTGGACGGTTTAATATTTGGCGTAAGTGAGCCACCTGTCATCTGGATTGTATACTTTTACGTTCAAACAAAACCTCCCCCTGATTTGGAATGATAAGGAGAGAGGCTAAACTGTGTGTTCACCTTATATCAGGATTACCCAATTGATTATGTCACGGAAAGACAAGCTTCTCTATAATTCTTTTTCTGTTTAAAGAACATCGAATCAAAAGGAAAAAAGGGGTGTAATAACTGGGCGAAAGTGATGAACGAAAGGTATATGGGGCGAGGATAACAAGTTTTTCCCTCGTTTTTTTTTGGCTTCCCAATGTTGTGGTGTATGTTTCATAACAACCACAGAAGACTAAGAAGAAGCTTTTTTAGTTTCCTGTTGAGAAAACTGGAAGTACTTCTTTGGGAGAAGGAAAAAGGTTTTCTGCTGGAAAAAAAGTTCTAGAAGAAGACATAATAATCCTATTATGTGTAGAAGAATAAAGGAAATGAAGGTCAAGATGAATGGAAAGAGAAACAATTATTGAGTGGAACTTCTAGACTGCCAGTTTTTTTAGAACATTGCTATTTTTAGGTGCAAATCACCAAATTTGAAAAGCTATGAGAGAACTGACCTGTGTAAATCGTCGAAACTCATTGCTCTTGAATACATGGGATGCATAGGCGGCGGTGGTGGTGGCATCTGAATCGGAATCCCTCTTGCTCCTAACTTTTTCATCAACTTTTGATGCTTCTTTTCCATTTTCTCCAACTTTTTCAACGTCTTCGCATCATGAGGTATCAGAATCCTTGGCGGTGGCATCATTGCCGGCTCAAAATCCACTTGATTCAATGACATCCTCGACCCTCTCATCTGTCGTAATCTCTCTGAATCTGGACCGCCCATATATCCAGAATCTGCATTCAGGGAAATCATTGACCGTCTCATTTGGGCTTTGGATTGGGGGTGATGAGGGTTGTGCAGCATGTACGGTTCAGCGAATGCTCCTGGAGCAATTGGTCTTTGTTTCGCTTCTGGATAGGGAGACGTTGTCGTGGAGTAGGCTTGCCTCTGGTGCATCCAGTGTGGAGGCGGTGGGTAGTGCGACGAGCTTCGGTTTCCCATCTGGAACTAAATATTTCGAAAATTAGAATTTCTTTCATCATTGCAATAAGATTTAAAGAAAATTGGTATATAAAACATGTTTGAAACTGTGAATTATATTTAAAAAAGTTGAAGAAAACGAGGTTCGCCAATAACGGGAAATTATAAAAAAGAGCACAAAAATTATCTGAAATAAAAATACGGAGAAAACTATAGAAAATTTAAATGAGAAGCATTCAGAAGCATCTTGAGACTAATAAATGAACAAAGTGAAATCTATAATTTTTAACTTTCAAAAATCAATTCTGATATGAAAATAGATGCGTCTGTAAAGGGACTAGTAACAAAATTTCATGAAAAACAGTATATAACATTTTATTGAAACTATAATTTTAAAAAAGACTAATAACAATTAAGGTTTGTGAAAATAGTGATACTAGAAAACTACAGGCTCAAAAGTTCCGAAATCACAGTTTAGAATAATGAAAGATGAGCAAATCGTACGTAGAAAACGGTAGAAACAATATTTAAAGATGCAAGTTTCAAAATAACACAAAAGAGTGAAACAGAGGAAATTTGAAATTGAAATTTCAAACATAGGATTTTAGGATCTTGACTGAAAAAAAAAACTCAAAGAAACATCAAACTGGACCAGTGAAATCTTTTTAAAAATATGGGAGAGGATTCAAAGAATCTCAGAATCCTAAATGGAGACAAAACGAAAAGTTCAACTTGATGAATGTCTTCTCCAGCCCCCGAGAAACAGATTCAGAATTCTTTTGATCCTCATAATCATCCTCAAATAACAAAAGAACCAAAAAAAATAGTAGAAAAAAAGGCGATTTGGGGGAGGAGACAAAAAGAAGAAAAGGAATAGAGGAGGTATGAATGGTGAGTCTCTGTCTCTCATTTCTCTCTCGTCAGGGCGGCCCTCCTTCCGATCGTCCAGAGGCAAAAGGAGGCAAAAGTATCCCTGTACGGTCTCCACTCAAATCAACACTATTTCTTCTTCTTCCACAAGGCTTCTTCCGCACAGTCATTTACCTCTTCTGCTTCGGGCCCAGCATGGCGAAGACTCCGCCTCCCTCCCCCGATTTTTATTCAGAGGAAGAATAAGCAGAAATCCTGGTGGTTGAATGGTGGGATATATGGAAGAGGGTGGTAGTAGAAAATGAATGCGATGGAATACGCAATTTACCGGTACAGAAGAGGCAGAAAAGAATAGACGAGGTGCGCAAAAGGGGTCGGATTTGAAGGGGGAGGAAAAGGTATGAATTTGGAGATGGAAAACCGAACAGGTGTTGACCAGCTGGAAGATGTACTACTGTCATTTTGGTTAGGTAGGTACAGAAAAATCATGGATAGAGGCTCTTTTTTGAGGAGAAGCTGTACGGAAGAATGGAGAGGGAAGGAACCCTTTCGATTGTCGCTCTTGAATACTATGATAATCGGACTACCTGAAGGACCGTTCTAGTCATAGAACTACAGTATACATCACAAATTTGAAACATTATACTTTTCAAGCTGATTGTGAGATCAAAATTCTAATCTTCTAGATGCTGGAAGATGTACTACTGTCATTTTGGTTAGGTAGGTACAGGAAAAGCGTGGAAGAAGCTCTTTTTTTTTGGAGGAAGCGGTACAGAAGAATGAAGATAGAATGAACACATTCTCTTGTGTTTTTTGAATTCTGTGTCATTGAAGTATAGGAGGAATAGTTCTAGTGATTGAGCTACAGTGTACGTCAAATATTTGAAACAGCATATTTTTATGAATTTTTTAACATAAAATTCTAAAATTGGAACATTCTAAGATTAGGCGTATCTGTAATTGATTTGAATGAAGCGTAGCGGACGATAGCGCTCTGAATAGTGGGGCACATTTTTTTTTGTTTTCTGTGGAAGATAATTAACTATTAAGTTTGAGCTCAGTAATTTAACTATAAAAATACTTTCAATTTTAACTATAAAAATACTTTCAATTTTTAGATAGACACAATTTGTCAGTTTATTCATTTCCAAATACTTTTATAAGAACCTGCAACTCCATTAGAGATTTTAACAGTAGTTTGAGACTTTAAACCAAGACGTTTCAAACAAAAAGTTTAGCCATGTCTCAAACCTAGCTTCGAAATCATCATCATACATTTCAAATGAAAACTCATATACATTTTTTCGCTGCTTCAGATAAATGATTTGAAAATATCAATTGGGATTTTTATAATTTGCAAAACAACAGAAAATATAAAATCATAATTCTGTATGAAGCCAGTTTTTAAAATTATATGTTCGATTTTTCAAGTGTCCCTTATTTTCCTGTTTCAAAGCCAAATTCAGTTCAATTGAGGTTTCTAGTTTTACTGCCTCATCGCTCATTGAAAAATACTGTGAAACCTCTAATAAAATGGCCCCTAACTAGTAAGTTTGAGCTCAGTAATTTCGGTTCCTGCGAGAGATATAAAAAATCTATCAACTGATAAAATATTGGTGATACTATGACCAGTTTGAGTGAGCTTCTAATATAGCAAATACACGGTGTTTCAAAGAACCTGGTCAAAACTCGCGCCCCAGAAAGCTTTTAGGCCAGACGAAATTTAATAGTTTCAAAGTTGACGTGGATTTGACCTGAATATTTTTAATCAACGAGTTGCAACGCGCGATTGTTTTTTTCTCAGCGTTTAAAAGTTTGATCCTCAGCCAACGAAATTTGAGACGTTGCACAGTGATTTTTCAAGTTCGCTGGAGCGCGTTTTCCGACCAGGTTCTTTGAAATAGCGTGCAAATACGGTATTCTTGATTACGATAATACCCGATTTTTTTTCTATTCCACAGCCAAGATCAGTTTAATTGTGTTTTCTAGTTTTGCTGCTTCATCTTATAAAATAACTATAAAGATATCGGTTGATTGGAAAATCGTCAAAACCTGAGTTTTCTATCTAATTGGTTTTGTTATATAACTCTCGGTTTCAGAATCTGTACAACTTCGAATAAAAAACACATATTATTTCTGAATTCACACCTACCTGTGATCCGAAAACAAATTTTTATGATTCTCTCTAACCCCAGAATTCCACACATGATTGAAAATAATTTAGAATCTAAAAATTCCAAACCACTCTCTAAACGCTTTTAGAAAGTTTCTGTGACATTATCCGATCTCTTTACAGAAACTTGCGTAATTCATGGGATATATATTCTCTGATAGAAACTGATATTCCTTTCCTCTCTTATCAATTCCCCCTTTTTCTCTTTTTTGCCAACAATTCGATTACGTTCGTGAAAGCGTAACAAAGTGATTGATGGGGGGGGGGGGGGGGGGGTGTACTTTCTGGTTCGAGGAAAAAAAAAAAAAGAAACAGAGACAATAAGGAGAAGAAACATATTTAGCTTCTAGACTTGGAAACGGTTTTCTATTATTGGAATTGCGTCAACGAGAGGGATTACACGCTTCGTTATGATTCCTCGTTTTTCGAAATTAGATAAACTTGAATTCGGGAAAAAAACAGTCGAATGATGATGGTGATGATTCTGAGTGAATCAGAATCCAATTATCTAAATGATGAGCCTATAAACAGAAAACAAGAGAAGGAGAAAGGGTATCCGGGACGAACAAGAGACAAATAAATGTTTTAATAGCTACTATCAGTTGGGTTTATTACGACTAGTTTTAGATCGAGGGAAAGTAACAAGAAAATTAGGGTTAAGCATTTGATTTGGGATGAGAAAAGTAGGATTGTAGTTGAACAGAGAAATTGGATAGGATATATTGAAATGTTCAAGTTTCTTCTTAAAAGGGACTCCGGCTTTTAGCATTTTTTTCGGAATATTATTTCTAAGCAGAATTTCAAGAAAAACCAATTTTCGAGACGTTAAATTAGCTCAAAAACTCATTTTTCACTGGAAATTAAATTAAATGTTAAAAAGTTTTCCGTTTTAAAATTGTTACACATTTCTGCTTTTTCTGTAAGTTTAGTGTTGGAAACGTAGATATTACCAAAATTTTTGATTAAAATTTGTAGAAAAATATGCAGGTTCACATAGAAACAACGAAAAATTCAAATCTTTTGAAAATCTTCGGAAAATTACTTCAAAAGACTAAAAATGCCAGTTCTTGTCCATTTCTAGAAACTTCCACAAGTTACTTTTTTTTGAATTCCTGCCAAAACTGAAAATTCTCCTTTTCAATTCTGACACTTTTCTATAAGCGGCCTAGAATTTTCGGTGTTGGCGCAATTTCAAGAAAATTCGAGAAGTTTCTTGAAGTTTCAAAAAATGGACGAGAACTGAGATTTTTAGCATATTGAAGCGATTTTTTCAAAACATCGTGCTTTTCTTTGTTTTCATGTGAATCTACATATTTTCTACACATTATAAAGCAATAAAAAATTTAGGTCCCATTTTAAATAAGTCTGAAGAGATGTTTTGAAAATTAGGTTTTCCGAAGGAGATTAAAAAAATTAAAATTTAAAAAAATGAGATTAACCAGATGAATTCGATCGTAAATCCTGTGATTGTTTTGAAATATCAATGAGAACCAAATATTTAAAATCTTAAAAAAACCAAAAATTCGCAGTTTCAAAAACCTTGTTTTAAGCATCAACTGCTTACAAATGGCTTATAAGTCAAAGTCGCGTTTATTACCTTCACCTCCGATCATATTCTAAAGTTCTGGTCACCTAACAATACAAAAATGAACAACTACCACTTGTCATCGTCAAGTGGTCTCCATGACTTTTTGTTCCAGAAATGTGTTGTTCTCACTGAAACTACATATAAATGTTGAAAAGCAAGATGAAAAGCGTCAAAAGATGACAATCTATGTGAAGAGAGAGAAATGAGGAGAAACAACCTGACAATGTTCCATGATCTTATCGAAATTTGAAATCTCTCTCGTCACCTCTTACGTAATTTTTCATCGAATTCCTTTTCGACATGTTGCAAAGTGAGAATTAATATGAGGGTAGGATATGGGAGAGGGAATGTGTTGAAGGAAAAAAAAAACTAAAATTGCTTCTATTGTTATTTATGAAGCACAAAAAAGAGACCGTTCAAAAGTTGGCCTATTGTTGAGTTTCTCTGCCTCACAAAAATTATTTAATAGTCTCAATTGGGATTTCGATCGTTTTGAAAGCAACTAACAGTAGGAACGCATTTCTAACATGTTCTGTCTGAAGCTGATTTTTAAAAAGGTTATTTTTGATTAGCAAGTTTTTTGAAATTTTCTGTTTCACATCCAAAATTTGTTCAATTGTGATTTTTAGTTTCGCTCCTTCGATCATTATAAATGTATAACGTCTATGGTTTTTCAGAATCCCGTGAAACCCGAAAATTTTTAAAAAATGGCTTCCTCTAATTGAAGGGCCCTTTCAATAGAAGGACACCTTGGAACAATAGAAGAGTCTCTTCTAATACAGATTTTACGGTTACTACAAAAAGTCAGACCTGTGGAAGAGATTGGTGGCCGTGGCCGGAGGTCCCACAACAAAAACTACAGTAACAAAAAAAATATTTATTTTAATTTTCCGGATTTATTTTCTCGTTTTTCACTTCCTTTTTGACAAAAAATTGACAAAAACCCCCCGAAAAACGAGAAAGTATGTACTGAAAATATTCTTATTGTTAGGTTACTGTAGTTGTCGTTGTGGGACCTTCGGCCACTGCCACCGCGTTTCTCAACCACAGCTCAGATTTTTTTGAACTAAAAGATCAACCTATCATATCTTTTTTGGAACAACAAAAAAAACAATTACCTGAAAAATTTTTATTTCAAAAGTTAGCACATGTGGTAATTTTATTTTCTTTTCTATTAAATAATATCCTTGTTAACACAAGAATCAAGAAAAGTATCTGACTATGATAAAAATTATTTTTAAATATAAAGAAACGGATTTTCAGTTCTCAAGGTCTCATAACTATCCATTGATTCGAAATTGCAAACTGTCACCAGATCCAGACAGGGATTCAGTGGAGGACGCTGGAATTAAACAAAATCTATATTTCTCAGAAATTGTTACACACAACTCTCTCAGCGATTTCTTTTGCTTGCTTGTATGGCAGAACTGGCATCTCGGGGACACAATTCTCTTGACACGTTCGATACTGAAATGAGATACTTGTTTTTGAAAAAGTTGTGCTCAGAAAATTCACCTTGATACATAATTGGAAAAGTTGAAAGCATTCTTTGTTCGCAGTCTGTTCCATAAGAACGTAGGATGTTCTGGAACTTTTTGAAAATTACAGTAATATCTGTGGATATGCGTTCATACCCTTTTTCTGTCCATTCCCTCACATTTTCAGCCTCACAGTCATCTTTGCATGCCTTATTTTCCACGTCATTCACATCGAAATTTCTGAAATTCCAAAAATGGGATTATGCTTAAAGATAGGTTTAAAATAGGCTTAAAACGGGCTCAAAAACAGGTCTAAAAACTAATCTGAAAATTGACTAAAAATCAGGTTCAAATAGAATTGAAATAGGCTAAGATTAAGCTTAAAATAAGCTTGAGAGCAGGCTTAAATAGGCTGAATATATTTTTAAGATATGCGAAAATTTGGCTTAAAGTAGGTATTTTGAAGAACTGTAAAATATGCTTAAAATAAATATTAAAATAGGTTTAAAAGACTTTGAAATAAGCTTAAAAATGGGGTCAAAATAGACTCAAAACTTACTCTTCGATTCTCAAGAAATCGAATGAATAGAATGCGAGTGATAGGGAAAAGAAGATAATCAGAAGTTTATTCATTCTTGTAGCTTTATTAATTTTACAATAAAAAATTTAATTTAATTTAAAAATGACACGTCATCAGACATTTTTTTTATTGTCTCAAGTCGGTCGCAATACGATTGGCCTCTTCAAAAATGTCTTCATCTGATCTGAAAGTGCTTCTCGCAGAGAGGAATTCACATCTGATCAAAAACTCGACACTAGATGAACGACATCTGGAATATTAGAACGTTTCAATAGGATAACTGAAAAACTAAAGTACTTGGCATCTCTCCAAATGAAAAAGTTTGGAGATCTCTTCTCAATTTTGTAAGTGAAGTGTCCGAAGCAGGATCGGTGATTTTGTGGGATTCGTTTGATTAGATAAGCTGTATCGGCTCCTGGGCAAATGATGTTACAGTAGTTGCGGGGTTTTCCAGCGTTTTCTTCCTGAAAAATTGAATTTTGAAAAATTGCAACTTCCACACTTTGTTACTGTTTTGCTCACCACATATGATTTTTATATCTAGTGTTCTGTAATATTTTCTGAGAACGAATAGTCAAACTTATTGTCGAATTAAACAAACTGGGACCTGAAAATTTTCGCGGGCAACGCTCGTGTCGATTTACGAGGCATCACTCCGAAAACGGATACTGTAAATAACAAATTAATTTTTGTGAAATTTGTGGGATTTTCTGAACAAAATTTAGATGTCTTGGTATGAAAATGATCGCTAGCATCTTTAGAATCTGTTTTTCATCAAAAAACCGAACTTAATTGCGAAAGTAGCTCGAACGAGGCGAATGTCTGAAATATTACGTTTTTGCCGCGCTTTTTCGTAGATCAAAAAATGCGACGATTTTCAAATTCTCTAGTCCCAGTTTTTTAATTCGACAATATTCACCTCAAAACACGGGTCAAATGGTGCTGGTCGTGGATTTGGGTCATTTTCAGTTTCCAGCAGAGACACTTTACAAGAGGATGCATCTTTCTTTTGTAAATTGGCATCACCAGCTTTACATGTGATCAATCTCCATTCTGAAAAAAAAGTTGGATTAAAAATTCATAACAGATAACAACTTACGCCAATGTTTGCTCTCCAGACCAACCGTCACTGAAACCAAAGCCAAGAAAATGATAATAGGGATAACAGAACGAGAAATCATGATGAGTGATATTCAGAGAAATGCGAACGGATTCTTTCTTTTATACGGTCACTTTTCGCTTTCCTTCCGACTTTCGGGTTAACGACATCATCATCGAAATACAAGGCGAAACGGTGTTCAAAACAAAACAATAAAACTCTTGATGGGTGTTCCGGATATAATGTTCGTTGGTACGTTTTTCTGTTACTGTCAGAAAGCTAAAAGTTTTTGGAAGCTAAATTCAATTCAGAGTTCGGTCATGATGTATAAGTTTTAGAAGTAACTATAACTATAAGAAGTTAACAGCCTGAAAAATTAATAAGATAGTTCATATTTATATTTGCTGAAGAGTCTACACACAAACTTGAATTAGTAAACCTTTCAGTTTCATATCCCAAAATCGACTATATTTTTAATAGTTTGAAGGTGGTGTGCGGTGAAAAATTTTATTGCTTTATTTTGTGCAGAAATTTATTTAGATTCCCATAAAAATAAAGAAAAAATTCAAAAAATGCCTTCATTGAGAAAAACGGTATCGAAAAGTCAAAGTGGTAACCGGTGGCCTAGCGGTCAGGTGTGAGTTTTCTAGGCCAACTGCTGGTAAAAGCGCGCGAAATTTGAATTTTTATTGGTTTTCAGTGTTTTCTCAGATGTTTTTTAGATTTCAACGTTTTTTCGTTAATTTCCTACATGGCGTATAAAAAACCTGACAAAAATCTGAGCAAACACTGAAAACCAATAAAAATTCAAATTTCGCGCGCTTTTACCAGCAGTTGGCCTAGAAAACTCACACCTGACCGCTAGGCCACCGGTTACCACTTTGACTTTTCGATACCGTTTTTCTCAATGAAGGCATTTTTTGAATTTTTTCTTTATTTTTATGGGAATCTAAATAA